AATAAATTTATATTTCAATTATTATGAATTAAGGACAATTATCTTCTTTTAACTTACATCTTGAGAGTTGGTTAAATAAGTGAAAGCAGAGGCAAGGCTACCTTGGGATGCCAAAAACTCAGCATACTGTGATAGAGTATTTGCAAGGGAGCCAGATATATCAACATTATTGCCTCTAAGCTCCATTGCTGTACGTAGAACAGCAACAATCTCCACCAGATCCTAGCCAGAGACAAAATAATTTAACAAATGTCATCTACATATACTTCAGAATAGATAGAAAATATACGAAATCCCATTACCTGCATCTGTTCTGGTGTAGTAGGTCGAATGTCTAACATCCAGTTGTCAACCAACTTGTGGAGGTTGCCCGCAATAGCATAACAAAGTTGTGCTTTCTGTTTATGAAGACCTCCCGATTCTACTTCTAAACGGTGCCCCAATTGTTCTACAAAGGAAAAGGTCATAATTCATTTTATTTTTTAAAAACATATCTGATGTGTGGCAAAGAAAAAGGAAAAAAAACAACAACCTTGAAGTAGAATAATATGACAAACATTTTACATACCACACAAGCGCGAATATTCATCTCCTCTGGTGTGTGTAAGAATAGCAGTCAAAGCTTCCTTCCAGCTCTCTAGATCACAAGATGCAACAACTTGACTCCAGTCTTCAGTAACTACAGCTGACATAAGGGTTGAAAGATAACCTTTACTTTTCTGGAAAGTAAAGAAAAAATATTAAAGACTTTCTTGCCAAGTTTTACCACAAAAATAATCCAAAAGTAGACAATTAAATTAAAATCTTTACCTGGAAATATCTAAATTGTGTCTTTGCAAGCAGATCTGGACCACCAGTCATAGCTAAAACAATAGCATCAGCATGGCGACCTTCTTGAAGACACAATTCTACAGCAGCTTCAGTGTGACCAAGTAAAAGAGCTTGGCAAATCAATCCATTTGCATCTGCAAAGGAAAGAAAATAGTTAACAAAGAGAATTGTATGTGCAGTGAAAGCTAAATGATTGGCTAACATACCGTCACCAGTAACAATCCTAAAAGGAGCAGTTATTTCTGACTTCTTTTTTAACTGTGCTGAAGCAGCTATGGCACTAAAGGCATCATCAGCAGATCCCTGCAAAAAAAATGTAAAACCGTTTAAGAGAACACAGCATTTTATTGCACTTCGTTGAAGAGTAAATTAAATTGTAACTTACAGCAGACAAATCATGCATTTGGGTTGTTAAATTGTCAATCCCATTAAATTCAGTAGGTGAATCATCAGGCGGTGCAATAGAGATGTTAAGCTAGAAAGTAAGATAACATAGGTAAGAACAGGAAATAATTTGGTTTTGAATAAATGAATATAAATCAGAGAGTATACTGCACCTTGTTCTTAACTTCTTCAGGATTGAAACCTAATAGGGTCAAAACTTCTGATGACAAATTAGGTTCAAAGTGAGCTTTGAGGCATTCCCACAAAATTCTATCATGAGATGTGTGACTCTCAGCAGCACGGCTTTTGCAGAAATCTCTATAATCACCCTGCTGCAAGGCTACATCCAAAGCCTGAGCTCTTGCCATGAGGCTGCCTTCCGTCACTACTTGACTGATGGAAACAGTTCTTTTCACGGCTGGTGTGGCAACAAAGCCTAGTTGTTGTGGCGCAGCTGGCTGCTGCACAGGGGCTGACTTGTCAAACTCAAATGATACTAACTTGCCACCAAACTATGGGGGGGAAAAAATAAATGAGAACCAAGATCTTTACAGCAAAAAATTAAAAGAAATGGAGAGGGTATGTAGAGGGTGCACTTACCCCGAATGATGCACCACAAGGCCGACGCAACCACTTTGGCGGCTTCCTCAAATCTACAGAAACTGGTGCTGGTTGAGGAGGAGTGGCCTGTGCATAACTTTCCATGCCTGGAAATGAATCTGCAATCTATTTAAAGAAAAAGAAGAAAAAAAGAGGAGGAGGATTACTTTAAGATCAAAAATAAAAGGTGATAAAATATTTAAATAATTTCAGATTTTTCAAGATTACCGAACCTTATTGCTTGTCTGCACCTGGGGCTGGGCACCACCAGTAAGTGAATAAATGCTGACATGACCATCGTATTCAAAACAGCATGTCCATTCTCGACTCAAGTCTTTAGAATTTTCGGACCACTCACTTGTGATTTTTGGTGTATCATATGAGTTAAACTTTACCATCTGTTAGTTGTTTGTAGTCATTGTTTTCTCTTAACCTTCACTTCTTTCTTTTTTCTTCTTCTTCAAATTGAAGGAACTACTTTAAAACTTTAGCTCATAACATAAGGTTGCCATAAATTTGTATGTGATATGTGATAAAAACGGAACTTTAAGGAAAAGTAAGTAAATAATGTTTTATTAGTTTTTAGAGAATACAGTTTCAGGCTAAAAGCAGGTCAGATCGGTCTGACTATATCACATGAAAGATGAAAGTTCACAAATGTAACAGTTTCAACTCCTAAAAATTCATGTTATTGATTGAGAGTGACTATTTTCTTAAAGGTTAACTGCCATTCAGTGCACAGGTCCGAGAGTAAAATATAGTTATTGCTATTTTGGGTAATTTCCACTCTTTTTAAATCTGTCTATCATTATCCAGAAGATGCAGTTGACATGATAGTATCAATGTGCTCATTCACCAAAATAAAACTTCAGAGAGCAAGTTTGTGGCGTTCTTTGAGATAGGTATTTACGTATAAACTGCTCATATTCACAATCTCGTTAAAAAGTGAGCTCGCGAAAAAAAAGTATAAAATGATGAAAGCTAGTATGGTTTATAAAATGTCAGTCACAGTAGTATTTGATGGTACCCCAATAAAAATTAATGAGTTGGCATAATACTAGTTTCAGCAAAATGTGAAAAAATACTGAGAGCAGTGTGGAGCACAACCAAACACAAACACACAGGCAATGAATGAATACCCACTGGATTTTATCTGTGAATGGGTTTTATGAAAAGATGCAAAGTTACATTTGAATCACAACAGAGTAACAAATAAGAATAAACTAGGAATCTTACTCAGACATTGTTTTCAAGAGATTCAGTCGGAGATTGGTATGAAAACACTAACGTGAAGTATCAAAGTACCCTGACAAGTCTGTGATTCCCAAGTTTAATAAGCACCTTTATCCAAGAATAAATGTCATCTCTCAGTTTATTCACACTAAAAATTCATAGCTATACCTTATTTGTAAAACAAACAGTATATTACAACAGAATATCAGTTCCCCTTCCTGTTGGCAAAACTTTAAAAATAAACTATACAATATTTTAATAGACTTGAAAAAGTTTGTACACTTACTGGCTAAGAAAATTGCTCAACTAGGTCGATGAGCAAATTATCAACAAAAGAAAAACAGTAAATGTTCATTGAAGATAAACACCTAAGGACAAAGCTGTTTGCAAAAGAACTTTCAACCCAGGCATAAAGCTTGAGATTTGTGAAAAGTCAGGACCCGACACCAATTGAGTGTGAAGATTAAGGCCACCGGCGTAATCTCCCATTTGAACCATTTGCATTAGCTGGTGTAGACTTTGAAGTGTATTGTTGGACAACTGTAACAAAACGAAGACATGATTGCACCAGAAAAAGAAATAGAAAGGTTACATCTAAAAGATTTTAGATTGTACTACGATTACCTACCCTCATATCCCTAAGTGCATCATAAAGGGCTTCTAATTTTCTGGCTACATCATCAAGTTTCTTCTTTGCTTGCTAAAATTTAGAGGCAACAAAATGATTAGAAAATGAAGCTTTAAGGTACAGTAAGAGTAATACACACTACACTTTCTTACTGGATTATTTGAAGCCTGGAAGCATTTATTCCGCAATTCGTCAAAGACAGTTTGCAGCACTACATGTTCTTCAGGAATGGGTGCTTTAGGAGGTGGTGGTTCCGGTTTAGCTCGAGAGAACTGAGGCGTTGGTGGTGTTTGCTCATGAGGATTTACCATTTGGGCCTGCATCATTTGAGGCTGATACACATTAGGAGCTTGATAAACGTTTTGCTGGGGATGGCCATAAGAGCCTGCATTTCCAACCATAGTATCAGCATAACCACCATTCATACTCTGCAAACAAAATGAAAGAGATTAACTGTATTTTTTTTACAACTACATTTTTACTTTTGGTTGAATAAAGAGAAAACCACTTACATTTAGGGGTGGAGCCGTTTCCTGAGGAACAACTCCAAACAGTGGATGAGTAATTGGTGCAACAGCAGCAACATCAGTCTTAGGGGGCTAAAATATTTTTAAAAATCACAGAATTTAAAATAAAAATTAGATGTTATTCACCTAAAAAACATTTAACCATGAGACAAACAGGAGCTACCTTAGAGCGGCCAGCGTTTTTCAATGCAGGGGGATCATTCCAACCCGGTGGAGGCTGACTAGAGGGTGGTGGGGGCAAAGGAGAAGCATTGAAATAATCTTGTTGTGTCTCTCCATATCCAGAGCCATAGGTTGAAAACTGTTGGTTAGCAGATTGGCCAGGGAAAGACTGAGTCTGCGGTTGGCCAGGGAAAGGCTGGCTCTGGGGTTGACCTGGGTAAGCCTGGCCCTGTGGTTGAGTTGAATACAGCTGTGGTTGGGTTTGACTGATAGATTGATTGAACATGGAACCAGAGCTAGGGAAGTTTGAGGTGGGGTTATATCCTGGAGAGCCACTTTGAACTGATGGATCAAGGACATATTTCCGATTTGAGGAGCCACCTGTTCAAAAGAAATTCAGATACATCAGTAGACTGTTTAAGAATAACAAGCATTTCACACAGCAAATGAAATAGGAGCCTTTGTCTCAAAGGGTTACACAAGGATACCAAATATAGGCTTCCTATCTAAATCACTAAAGTACACAACATTAATGGAGGGTTAACATTGTTAAGAGGACAACACTATTAAGGACTATTACGACCCAAAAATTTCAAACTACATTAATTTAAAAATTCTTTCCTGCTGTAAGTTTTATGCATTGTGGTAGTATTCAAAACAGCATGTCCATTCTCGACTCAAGTCTTTAGAATTTTCGGACCACTCACTTGTGATTTTTGGTGACCTACTCCACAACTGTTGCGTACCAGAATAGGCAACATTATGCCCAAAGTGAGACCACTGGCCTACACCATCTGACAAATAATGTCAATAAGTATCTTTCAGAAGAGGATTAAATGTGCTATTGTTTTTTCTTTTTCCATTTCATCCAAATAATAATACAATTACTTCTAATTCAACATACCTGTCACGGATGGCGCACGTGGCAATACTCCTGGGCTTGCACTGGGCCCAGGAGGAGGTCCCTGCATGGAGGGTTGAACCTGCAGAGGAGGAATTCCCGATAACGGCTGCGTGGGAGGCAAAGTCTGCATTGGAACAGGGGCTGGAATGGGCGCCGAGATAGGTGCAGGGGTAGGAACCAGTGGAGATGGATTGTAAGATGCAGCTGAGAACGAAGCTGGATTGGGAGCAAACGATTGAGCTGCTTGCTGCATGAGTAAACAAAAGAAAAAAAAGTTAATTGATGCCTAAACCTTATCTAGATGATTTTTCACAGGACATGTACTTACAGCCTGGTTGTAAAAATAGGGGGCTTGTCTAGTGGAGGACGCTGCATGTAGACCACGCTGGTTTGGCATGCTTGCACGTCTTGGGTCAGTTGGTTGAGACCGGAGCTGTTTGTACCCAAGAGCCACTGACAATCGGTCGCGCAGCTCATTGAGTTTTTCCTGTTACAGAGATATGTACCAATAAATTTATATTTCAATTATTATGAATTAAGGACAATTATCTTCTTTTAACTTACATCTTGAGAGTTGGTTAAATAAGTGAAAGCAGAGGCAAGGCTACCTTGGGATGCCAAAAACTCAGCATACTGTGATAGAGTATTTGCAAGGGAGCCAGATATATCAACATTATTGCCTCTAAGCTCCATTGCTGTACGTAGAACAGCAACAATCTCCACCAGATCCTAGCCAGAGACAAAATAATTTAACAAATGTCATCTACATATACTTCAGAATAGATAGAAAATATACGAAATCCCATTACCTGCATCTGTTCTGGTGTAGTAGGTCGAATGTCTAACATCCAGTTGTCAACCAACTTGTGGAGGTTGCCCGCAATAGCATAACAAAGTTGTGCTTTCTGTTTATGAAGACCTCCCGATTCTACTTCTAAACGGTGCCCCAATTGTTCTACAAAGGAAAAGGTCATAATTCATTTTATTTTTTAAAAACATATCTGATGTGTGGCAAAGAAAAAGGAAAAAAAACAACAACCTTGAAGTAGAATAATATGACAAACATTTTACATACCACACAAGCGCGAATATTCATCTCCTCTGGTGTGTGTAAGAATAGCAGTCAAAGCTTCCTTCCAGCTCTCTAGATCACAAGATGCAACAACTTGACTCCAGTCTTCAGTAACTACAGCTGACATAAGGGTTGAAAGATAACCTTTACTTTTCTGGAAAGTAAAGAAAAAATATTAAAGACTTTCTTGCCAAGTTTTACCACAAAAATAATCCAAAAGTAGACAATTAAATTAAAATCTTTACCTGGAAATATCTAAATTGTGTCTTTGCAAGCAGATCTGGACCACCAGTCATAGCTAAAACAATAGCATCAGCATGGCGACCTTCTTGAAGACACAATTCTACAGCAGCTTCAGTGTGACCAAGTAAAAGAGCTTGGCAAATCAATCCATTTGCATCTGCAAAGGAAAGAAAATAGTTAACAAAGAGAATTGTATGTGCAGTGAAAGCTAAATGATTGGCTAACATACCGTCACCAGTAACAATCCTAAAAGGAGCAGTTATTTCTGACTTCTTTTTTAACTGTGCTGAAGCAGCTATGGCACTAAAGGCATCATCAGCAGATCCCTGCAAAAAAAATGTAAAACCGTTTAAGAGAACACAGCATTTTATTGCACTTCGTTGAAGAGTAAATTAAATTGTAACTTACAGCAGACAAATCATGCATTTGGGTTGTTAAATTGTCAATCCCATTAAATTCAGTAGGTGAATCATCAGGCGGTGCAATAGAGATGTTAAGCTAGAAAGTAAGATAACATAGGTAAGAACAGGAAATAATTTGGTTTTGAATAAATGAATATAAATCAGAGAGTATACTGCACCTTGTTCTTAACTTCTTCAGGATTGAAACCTAATAGGGTCAAAACTTCTGATGACAAATTAGGTTCAAAGTGAGCTTTGAGGCATTCCCACAAAATTCTATCATGAGATGTGTGACTCTCAGCAGCACGGCTTTTGCAGAAATCTCTATAATCGCCCTGCTGCAAGGCTACATCTAAAGCCTGAGCTCTTGCCATGAGGCTGCCTTCCGTCACTACTTGACTGATGGAAACAGTTCTTTTCACGGCTGGTGTGGCAACAAAGCCTAGTTGTTGTGGCGCAGCTGGCTGCTGCACAGGGGCTGACTTGTCAAACTCAAATGATACTAACTTGCCACCAAACTATGGGGGGGAAAAAATAAATGAGAACCAAGATCTTTACAGCAAAAAATTAAAAGAAATGGAGAGGGTATGTAGAGGGTGCACTTACCCCGAATGATGCACCACAAGGCCGACGCAACCACTTTGGCGGCTTCCTCAAATCTACAGAAACTGGTGCTGGTTGAGGAGGAGTGGCCTGTGCATAACTTTCCATGCCTGGAAATGAATCTGCAATCTATTTAAAGAAAAAGAAGAAAAAAAGAGGAGGAGGATTACTTTAAGATCAAAAATAAAAGGTGATAAAATATTTAAATAATTTCAGATTTTTCAAGATTACCGAACCTTATTGCTTGTCTGCACCTGGGGCTGGGCACCACCAGTAAGTGAATAAATGCTGACATGACCATCAAAGCTGCAACTAGATATTAAAGCAGGATTTCTTGGACACCAAGCCACATCAAAGTTCCATTGAGTTGTGGTTGCAACTTCACACACAACTTCACCACCCTATAAAATAGAATTAGTTTTCCAAAAACTTAATAGATACTTAATTCAAACCATGATTTGAAAAAAAAATTCTTACCGGTGCATTGGAGTTGGGATTCCAGCACAGGATGCGATTGTCTTTTCCACAGCTCAATAATAAATCAGGGTCTTGCATACACCAGGCAATGGAAAGAACACCTCTGTAATAAAGAAATTTATAAATTACCTACATATAATTTAAGAAAGAAAAATGTACTGTTGAAAAGCTGAAATTTGTAGAGGATACAACAACACTTACCTCTGATGATTAGCAGCAGCTGAGAACGAAGCTGGATTGGGAGCAAACGATTGAGCTGCTTGCTGCATGAGTAAACAAAAGAAAAAAAAGTTAATTGATGCCTAAACCTTATCTAGATGATTTTTCACAGGACATGTACTTACAGCCTGGTTGTAAAAATAGGGGGCTTGTCTAGTGGAGGACGCTGCATGTAGACCACGCTGGTTTGGCATGCTTGCACGTCTTGGGTCAGTTGGTTGAGACCGGAGCTGTTTGTACCCAAGAGCCACTGACAATCGGTCGCGCAGCTCATTGAGTTTTTCCTGTTACAGAGATATGTACCAATAAATTTATATTTCAATTATTATGAATTAAGGACAATTATCTTCTTTTAACTTACATCTTGAGAGTTGGTTAAATAAGTGAAAGCAGAGGCAA